AGTAAAAAGAAAAGTTCATTCACAAAAATAAGAAACTTTCCGGTTTTATTGCGTCGTTTTTCAAGTAGAACTAACGTAAATTCGCGCATAATTTCCACTTGAATGTAAAAAACGCTTGAATGCCTAACACGCTGAAACAAATTAAGGCAATCGGCATGTAGAAAAACTGCTTTACATTCCTCTCGAAAAGCTGCGGGAACTTTTGCGTGTTGCGTTTGCTACTATTAGATGAATATAGATGAGCTATAACTTCATGTAATATTAAATAATTCTATCGTTTTTGTGAAAATAGAAGAACGAAGATAGAAGAACTCTATTAAGAAGAAAAAAAAAAGAAAAAAAAAGACAGAATAATCTATTTCACAAATTTGACAAAGAAAACGTGCAAATGTACGTACACAATCTCTATGCGATATGTCGAAGAATTGTCAATATATCAGTTATCAATTCTTATCGATCGCTGCGAGCGAAACCTTTACCTTCAATGCGGCTGCATTTATTCGCGGTGCATGCTCGACGGAACGCAAGCGCGGCGGGAATCATCGTTGCGAATCGACGGGAGCAAATTTTCCTTGTGTACGAAGCCGCGATTACGGCCGAGCCGTACGTACGATCATGTAGAAAGAACGCATTAGGGAGAAGCGCGGTATTAGCAGGGAATTCAACCTTCAGACCGGACGGCATTGCCGACCGGCCGTCTAAACCGGACTATATCGTCCAGAACTAATTGCCTTGGCGGACGTTTGGTTGCCGCTGCTGGGTACCTCCTGTGCCAAATGGTTTGTTCGCGAACGAAGCACCGGCGACGAGAAAGAGGGCCCATGCGTTAAAGACGAGACGAGGCGAGGGGCGAGAGGCGAGATTGGCGATTCGCTCGCTCGCTCGCCTGTACAGCGACGATCCTATCGTCGACTAACGGGGCTTCGGCTTTAGAAGTTTCGTGATCGTGACGCGGCCTGTCGTCGCCGATTGTCGCCGTCTTGTTGCCCGATCGCGTCGATCACGATCACGTGCTATGTATAGCCGGCCGAGTACAACGTTTTTATTTTTCCGGGCATTCGTCTCGGTTTCGGATAAGAATTCTAATTTGTCCGGTCTTTTTGTCCTTAATGGGCGAGGGCGGCGGGATGAGAGGGGAAAGATTTATTTGACGATCGTGGCGAAAGGAAACTCGTGTCAAGAGATCATCAAAGCGTGACCGAGATCCTCTCCACTCTTCGACGTTCACGATTGACCGATTTGCAGCCTCGATCGAATTAATCTCTTCCGTCTGTTCTGCCTTCGCCACGCGAAAAGTCCTATTTGACGACATTCATCGTCCCGCGTCATCGTCGTCGTCGTTGTCGTCGTCGTCGTCGTCGTCGTCGTCGTCGTCGTCGTCGTCGTCGTCGTCGTCGTCAAAAATCTCTCGATTAATATTAAATCTCTCTCAAGGAAGAAAAATGGATGACAACGGAGCGTGCGGAAGTGAGATAAAAGCAGGTTAAAAGCACAATAAAAAGAGTACTTTGTAGACGTCAAGCTGTCACATACAGACATGCTTGTGAGCCGGCACGCAAGGGGTTTTCTCAAGAAATTCGCCATAAACGGTCGCCGGTGCGTAAGATGCGCTGCCTTTACATATGTGCGCCCTGTCTCAAATACCTTTTACTTTCTCCGCTCCTTAGACGCACCTTAACGTCCCTTTACGTATCTCGCCGTACTGTTAGATTATCACGTGAGCACTCGAGCGTTGATGGTTTTACGGCGGCACAAAAGACGCGAGCATAAAACGACGCATCGCCGGCTAGCCAGCGCGATCACGCTTCCCTTGGACTCCGGCATGCCGTGTCTTTTGGCAATTATCCGGCATGACGATCGCGTAAAAGAAATATCGCGCGGGGATTACACGAGATCGCGAGACGTTTACTTTTTATTCCGTCCGCCAGATGTTCGCCAGTGCGAATTATGTCGCCCTGGGCGCCGCGCTTCAACAATTGGGACACGGAGCTGTCTTTCAACCGAATCTGTTCCGGCCATATAGTTAGTTCTCTTTGTAGCAAAAACTGATACGAAGTAAATCGCTCACTCTCGGCTGGTTCGTTAGATCGTTCGTTTTTGTGCCGCATGTAAAAGCTCTCTACCGCAGACAAAAAGTATTAGAAGCGGTGTATCTCACAGCGAAAACATCTCAGAAATACTCACCAAATATTTAATTAACGTTACTGTTCGAATTATATTATTTATTTTTGCACGAAACGGAAATAGTGACATGATAAATTGATAATACATGACTATTAAGTCAAAAAAAAAAAAAAAGAGAACGTTACAAATTACGATCCTCAATGAATCGTTGAATGTTTTCAAATATACGAAATGACAATACTTTACTTTTTGAGACACTACTTCAAGCTTTGGTCATCCTGCAACGCGATAATAATTTATATACGTCCGTTTTAGTTTCCTCATCTCGGAAGCAAATTACCCGGTATGTGTTACCCCTGACAGATGCGCTTGAAAAATATCACGGAACAATACCGCTTCTCCATAGGTATAAGATCCCATTCTGCCGTTTAATTAATGCCCACAAGTCCGACGTCCGCGGACGTATAGTTTATATTAATTATACCTCGGAAGATTCAATTAGTGCGTTTCTCATTACACTTACTTATACTGGTATCCATTATTCATGAGGAACCACTGTGGTAGCACTCTCTGACAATGCACATGATCCTTCTAATTCATTGTCAGTATCAAATATATAAATGTACACGTAATGTACGCGTGTATCGATCTTTCATAAAACGCGTGAAATATGAAAACGAAAAGTTCATTTTTATCAATTTTTGAAAAATTTTACCTGACATTTTTTTAATTTTATACAATATTTTTATACAATTTTATATTTAGATTTTATTGAGATTTTATATTTAAATTGTTATATTTAGATTTGTTACATCACTGTTTGAAATAATAATTATAAAATGTTACAATAACGAATTTGCTGTGGTGCGCATGCAATTTCTTTTTTTTTTTTTTTTTTTCCTAAGATTTTATTAACGTTTCAAAACTCTTCGAGGAAGATATATTCGCGTACGTGCCGTAAAGACATTCAACAGCAACGGGAAAATAATGGGTCAAGAAATACTCGAGAAAGAGTGTACCTCAGGGCGACACCCAATATGTGGTTCCATTGGGTGCGGCTTCTCGTAGGAAAATCAATCGCGCTGGAAGTGCGAAAGCTGTTTCGTACTCTGCAAAAATTTAAATAAGATTCGAACGAAAATCTCTGAATGCAACTCCAGAGATATTTGCCAGAGAAATCGCGATCGACTATTTGTATTATTTGTCAAAGAATCGATATTACCTGATGAAATTGCATTGCAGAATTTAGATTTACTTGTTTCATCAAATTGATTATTTCGCGATAGCAAGCTACACTTTGTTAAATTCTTGCTCATTGCATTCTTTCATATTTATAGAGGATATTTTAGTGTTTTAATATAAACAATTTTTTGTTAAATGATTAGTGCAAAAATGTATTTTTTTGAAATAATTTCTAACATACGCGGAGAACCAAATAGCAACATAAAAATACTGATTCTCGAGAATGTTTGATATATTTTTGAAAAAAAATTGAAAACTGGAATATATTGCGAAAGATAATATTCGTGACAGATTGTTACACACGATGGAAACGATTATTGCACAGCTCGATGCAGAATTCCCAACATTTTTATATGATATTGATTTGACGTTGGAAATTTCGTTTAAAATATACGTCAGAGTTAAACTTACGACCGCTATTCAGATTATACACAGTGTCAGTTAGGAAAATATTCAATATTTGCATACATCAACAAGATACTCAGAATCAATCTTGTTTTAACGGAAAATAGTTTATAAACTAAATAAGAAAAAAATTACCGTCCATTTCTTTTTCTGTCATTTAATTTATATTCATATTAAAAATATAATGTATCGTTTCATGAGGTATGTAATATTTTAACAGAGATCCGTGTCTAAATCTTTCGATGCGAATGCGAAAATATGATATTCGCGGTTTCAACAATCCGCCGATGTTATCGAGTACGCAATCTCTTGCACACGTTATAGAATCCTTAATCAACTTGCGAAATTATCTTATCCTTAATATCTTTCCATTATTAATGTATTAATTAATGGATTAGACAGGTGAAAAATTACGCGTACGGTTTGTGAAGAACGTGTGATAAGCACATCGACCCGATTCTCACCGACATGAGTACCGGACGACACCGTCTATTATGTCTCACGTTTTGTTTCGCTTATTTTCATCCGGTAGATCAAGGCAATTGGTACCGCGGGCATTGTACAGAAAATTATTGCACTTCGCCCAAAGCGATCCTTACATTACACAAAATGTTCGTAGGCGACTGATGTGAAACGACTGATCTTAACATACTTCGGTTATCCTATGAAACGCCATAATTGTGCATAACAACAAGAAGAACGCGCGGAACCTCGAGGCTTACTCATCCCGCATGTACATATGGAAATCTAATTTTAATGATAACGGATCAAAAGGAAGATTATCGCATATTAATCTCTCGGTTTTACTCTCGCCATTCGAAATATTGTCATTGAATTTTTCTTTGACGGAGAACGTATAACGGTATTGCCTCGTAAATTGCATCTATTAAAGCAGTGCTATTAATTTCGAATGTACGATACAAAAAAAAATTCTATCAAATGTCTAAAAACGCTTTTGTATCGCAGAAACTGTTCCTTTATGCCACCGTGAAGTTGTAGAATGTTCTTAATTAACGTCCGCGTAATAAGGCAATCAAGGGATCTGCGTTCCGCTCTAGCGTTTCCGTCGTAAAAAAAAAAGAAAAAGAAGAGGGAGAGGAGGGGGGGAAACATATCCAGAGCGGTTATCGGACGGAGTAGCCTCGGGAGTTTGCCAGCATCAGCGCATACATAGTCGATAGTTCTAGTACTACGGTCTTTAGGAAGATACGATAACGATTCAATCTTACCTGGATTGCTGTCGGCGTTAGAGCTGAATAGGACGCAAAGCCCCGTCTCGTAGTTGACCGCCTGGCAGGAGTCGTTTGCCTGACAGGTCTCGAGGCAGTCGGTGAGCATCAACGTGCCCGGTATGGACTCGAGCATGTTCGTGGGCGCGGTGTATACATAGCCGGTTACGAGCTCGAAGCCGACCATCTCGGGATCGCACTCGTCCGAACCCGCGGACGGCCCGGTGTAGTCCGGGCCGGAGAGGCCGGACGGCACGGACGCAGACGACGGCGACAGGTCGGCCGCGTGCGTCGATTCCGCGGCAGCGGCGTGCCCGTATCTCGAGACGATTTGCAGTAGCAGCAGTAACGTGACGAGCTGTCGACGGCTGTACGGTTTCGTCATTGTTGCGCCTCGATTCAACGCTCAGAAATACAGTAATGTACACGGACGTGTGCAATCTGTAACAGAAAACAAAAAAAGGGACGGACGTTGACATTTCCGTTTTCGAATTTCCGAAAAGCAAAAATTTTAAGATAAATGTCTTCGATGGGAAAAAAAAGAAGGGAGCGACTCTGGGCGCTTGAGGCGAGGCAACAATTTGAAAGTAAAATGTTAAATTATTGCAGTCGTTGAATTTGAGGAAATAGAAAAGATAGGAAGAGATTTATTTTCAACGGTAACTTGCTGCCTTGCTTCATTTTTTAATTTCAGAAATGCAGACAGAAATCCAACAGGTCTCTCTCTACGCTTTTCTCAGTTTTTCTAGAATTACACTACAATATGAAATGTCGTGCAACTTTTATCATGAAAATTTCTTTTAATATTTATTTTCTCTGTTCTCTGATGTTACTAAGAAAGATTTACAAGGAAAATTAGAAATGGGAGAGAAAATGGTATGTATGAATATAATGAGAGTTTACTGTAACTCTTATGGTATTTCATATTTAATAACAATGGTAATGAAAATACTTTTTAGAGTTAAGTGTGAAAATAAAACGATTATGTAGAATTAAACGTCTTAAGCGTTTTTCTGAACCGTTTTTTTTCGTTATGGGACTATTTTCTCTGTTGCTTAAGCGAATGCTTCAGTGCTCTGACGGACTGAATAAAGAAGAATTAACGGAAGCAAGGATTAACGGGATGGAATATATCGCCGTTGGTCAAGTGTCGCGCTGTTCTTGTAAACGAACGGGAACAATAAATTGGAAAATAAGATTTGTCTCTACACATTTAATAATGCAAAAAATGAAGCAAGAATATTATAACAAAGCTGAATTTCAATTCCACAAAGAATCGACGATACTTGGAAGCGATATTCAATTATATTGAGATTAATAATAATTTTAAAGGAAACAAAATTTTTACACTGAAATTTTATGTAAGTAAAAAATTAACATTATATCTTTTAATAAAGTCATGAACATTTTTTAAGCATAATAATAGAGCGGTGAAATTTCACGCATTAAGAATACACACAGATACGAAATACGGTTATTAAGTTTCAAATATTTTCAAATTAAAAAGGAAACATGGACGCGCCAATTTATTTATTAAATCACGGTATCTATATTCGTTAACATGTAACATCATTATGACAGATTTTATATAACGTTCGGACGACACGAATAAATTGAAATAACAATTAGAATATTAAAAACGCGAAACAGAACAATAAAAATTGGGAATCGTTCATATTTCCGTTACACCGTTGCATATATCGCGCAATAAATAACAAGCAGCGCGGTGTGCATATGCGGGAATTTAAATCGCCGGATACTTTTGTGGGCCACTATGACCCCATGGAATCGCGATTCACCGGCAATCCGCGCAAACTCTGACAGTTTCGTTCCGCCGAAAATAACGACGAAATATAGCGTTCGAAATGCGCGTTTCGGGCGCACTTAGCGCATGTTGCTCACACCGAAATAATCACACCGATGCACTATTGGGTGCGTACACCTTTGGTACACAGACGGATTCCAGGAAACGTACCTGGCTGAAACGCGATCGAGAATGCAGCAGCAACGGCAGCGTCAGCAACAGCGGCAGCAGCAACGGCAGTCAAATGTATCGACGTCGAATTTCGTAGGATCGCGATCTGCCGGTACACGATATATTGTCGCACGTTGCAATTCGGCGGCGCTTTATCCCGCACTCCTGCGCCGCGCGAAGGCGAATTCCACGGGCACCTTTCTCACGGGATCATCGGTAAGCGCGCGCGCGCGCGCGTGAGCTCTCGAGAAATGGCCGTTGGCGCACAATGCTGAAACGGTACACACAAACGTGGGCTAAGCCAAACACGATCGCGAGCCTTCGAAAAAGGGAGGGGGGGGAGGGAGAGAGAGAGACACCGAGAGGAAGAGAAGAATCCGAAAGAGAGGAGCCAATTTTACTTTTGTTTATCGCGCATCGCGTGAATCCACCACGAAATCACAGACGCAACCGCCGGTCCGCAATGATAATGCGAGAAGCTCGCGACCGCCGCGGTCGCTCAGAAGGATGTAACTATGTCGGCCGGCTGGCTCTCTCTTAGGCACTGTGTACACCTGGCAGTGTGGCTCTTCCACGAGCGACCGAAGACGTCTGCCGGAGGGGACCGAGGCCGCTGCCGTCTAAGGAGGACAGAACGGTACGCACAATTCGATCGCCGGTACAACACCATTGAAAACCATCACCACCTCTGGTCTCTTACCTCTTTCTCTTTCTCTTGATCGACTACCTCGCGTATTATCTCTCGCCCACGATTTCCCCCGTCCGTCCGTCTTCCCCCTTTCCGTTTTCTTTCTCCTTTTTTTTCTTCTTTCCTTTTTTTTCTTTTTTTTTTTTCTTTACATTTTTTCTTACATTCTCGGTCGGATCGGTGAAGTCATGCTACTTTAGACACCAAGAATAGCCGATTCGTGTCGGTTGTCAGCGCGCGGGTTTACCGAACCCACTGTCGCCCACCTACTTTAAAATCTTCCGTGATCGCACGTTCAATGGAATCTATTTCGCATGATGACACGTTATGTTCGTGTTCGGCTTAGCCGGAGCCGGGTAAGCCGTGACACCTTACGTTAAGTTATATGCTGACAAGATTTACTAGCCCCTTGACGTCCTCTTATCCTCTTTTAGAATAGGCAGCCTCCGCCAACGCTTATTTGATAGGTTCTCTTTTTCTTTTGCGTTGACAGATACCACGAGAGAAGAGGTCTGACAGCGAGTAACTAAACACACATTGTCACTCGATTATCCTTCGGCTATGATAAAGGATCTGTATAACACGAGAGATAAACACGATATTCCCGGATACTCCTTCGAATTTCTTTCTCAATTCTTTCACGTAACATAACGGATCGATCGCCTCCGGAGGATCGCCGCCGAATCGGCCGCAAAATTAAAGTCATTTCGCAATCGCTTCCGTCGTCGGTGACGTGAGAGCGACATCATATTGTAAACTCGTCGACCGATTCGGGAGAGAGAGAGAGAGAGAGAGACGACCGCGAATGCAGCCGGCCGCAAAATCATCGTTGCACGTGCGCACGTCGACACCGCGCGCGTCCTGATGTAAGGATGCGACATCGGATGCCTGCGTTTAATTGGTGGGAGTACGAACGTGAATAATCCGATCATGTGGTATAGATACGCGAGCATGTGAGCGAGAGCATCTCGCGCTGGGACCGGCACGCGTGGTGCACCACCGGCCAGTGAAGGTAATTCCCTCGGTGTGAGGAACTAGACGGAGTAAACGGACGCGGAGCATTCTCTGTCATTAGTCGGTACTTGTTGCGGCCGTGGAAGGCCATGGAATGAGCCGATGATGCGTGTCTGGTAAATAGTAATTATGTCGCGCGAGAGAAGTGAGAGAGAGAGAGAGAGAGAGAGAGGAGGAGAGGAGGAGGGAGGAGACGAC